CTCTACCCAGGGGGATAGCTTGAGGCTCTGTCTCAAAAAAAAAAAAAAAGTTTCTGTAACAATTAAATAAGATAACAGATCAGATCTCAGGCCCTTAAACATGATACAAAGTCAGTATTCCTTAGATATAGGTACTATTGTTACTATTGCTATCATTAGCTTTATGTTTTGTTTTGTTTTGTTTTTTCCTGAGACAGAATCTCACTCTGTCACCTGGGGTAGAGTAATGTGGCATTATCATAGTTCAACACAACTTCAAACTCCTGGGCACAAGAGATCCTCCTGCTGCAGCCCCTTGAGTAGCTGAACTATAGACACCCACCTGGCTAATTTATCTATTTTCAGTAGAGCTGGAGCTCACTCTGACTCCTGGCTAGTCTCCAACTCCTGGCCTCCCAGAATGCTTCAATTATAGGCATGAGCCACCACCCCTGGGCTCAGTGTATCTTTTTTATCCCCTTTTATCCCCTCTTCTCCCTCCAAATCCCTTTAAGTACCCTGAGTTGTTACAAGGTAGCACCCAAGTTTACATAGTAACACTAGAAAGAAGTCTCCCAGAAGCAAAGATAGGGAATGAGGCAGGCATTCAGCAGGGCTGTCCCAGCTTCCAGCCTGGCTCAGCCTCCTGCCAAGTTGCTCAAAGTCTGGGTCTCAATTTCCTCATCTGCGAAAAGGGGGTAAAATGCTGCTGAAAGTACTATAAGCTCTAAAGTCCCGAAGAGCCTGCAGCACCTAGGGCCTCAGCTAACACTAATCATGTTAATCAAGTGTCAACTATCACCAGGCCCAGGAACTGGGGACTAGGATGCAAATGAGGGGGGAAGGGGAGAGGACCCAGCCAGGCCCTTTGTCCCTTCCTCCCTCCAACACAGCCCCCTAACTAAGGCACCTCCTCAGCTGTGCTGGCAACAGAGAGAATTCCACCTGTTCTCCACCTGTTTGGAAACAAGCTGATGAATCTAATGTAGTCAGAAATGTAGCAGAGACATGCATGGGGAGGGGGGGGCACAAGAGAGTGGTGAGAAGGGCCCCAAATATAATCTAAAGTGCAGCTAGGCACTTAGAGTAGCAGTCCACAACCTTTTTTAGCACCAGGGACCAGTTTCTTGGACAATAATTGTTCCACTGATGGGAGGCAGCATGGGGGGCCAGTGGGGGAGGGTCATTATACTCTCACAAGGAGCTGAGACCCAGATCCTGCACAGTACAGTGTACAGCAGGGTCAGTGCTCCTGAGAAGCTAAAGCCGCCCCTGATATGACAGGAGGGGGGAGCTCAGGAGGTGACTGCAGTGATGGGGGGTGGCTGTAAATACAGACGAAGCTCTGCTAGCTCACCTGCCATCCTGTGTGGCCCACGGGCAGGGGGTTGGGGTGGGAATCATAGACTTATTAGGCTCAGAGGAAGCTTCCAGGAGAAGGAGGCATCTGAATTCAATCTTTAAAAAAGATGAAACAAGAATAATGGGCTTAAGCAAAGGCCAGGAGGCAGAACTAGCAGAGTGAGCCCAAATGCAGCTGTAGGAGAATCTTAAAGGACCAAGTGATTATCACCCAGGACATGGGGATGAACGAACCATCCATGGCCGATCTCATCCTTGCAAAGTAACCATTGGACCCTCCCCAGGTGCCAAGCACCTGCCAGTGCATCTCATTTATCCCAGCAAGAAATTATAGAGGGGGAAACTGAAGTCCCAAGAGGTGAAATTACTTGATCAAGGTCATGCAGACCAGCGGAGGCACAAGGGTCAGAAGCCTCATTTGTGTCCCAAGACCCTGAACCTTCAGCACCTGCTTTGTGGAACCAGATCCCCTGGCAGATTTTAGCCAGATGTGAAATTTGGCAGCCTCGGTTCCTCACAAAGGAGGTTAAGGGACTTGTCCAAGTTCACACACAGCTAGTGGCAGAAACAGGGTTTAAACCTGATCCCAACTCCAAAACTCTTCAATATGCTAAGCGCCCCTACCATGCCCCTCTAGAGTGCCCAGCTCCCAGGTGTCTAGGCCAGTGGGTAGAGACCACATAGGTAGGAAGCTCGAGCTCTATTACAACACCCCCAGTCAAATGGAAACCAGGACAGGGCACTAGAATTCTCATTTCTTTCCAGTCCTGGCTCTGGGAGGCCTGGGACTTAACCTTTCCAGATTCCACTCACTTCCCACTCAGAAGCCCAGTGGATCCACTCAACCATGGGCACCAAATCCTTCATGGCTGCCTCTCACTGAGTGGAAACAGGTCCTCACAGCCAAGGGATTCTTGGAGTCAACCACCAAAAACCAGCCAGCTCCCACCCAGCTCAGGCCTCCAGAGTCTCAGGCTTAGCAACTAAAGCAAGCAGGTCCCTGAGGCCTTGACCCTACGGACCCCACAGGAGGGTCCTATCCAGCACAGCAAGTTCCATTTTGCTTCTGCTTTTTCAAAAAAAGAAAAAGAAAGAAAGAAAAGAGAGAGAAAGAAAACAAAAAGAAATAGCCTTGAAATCCCTTTTATGTTGTGCCTGTTTCCCATCCTCCGTCTTCAATAGGTAATTTTGTGAAATGACTTATCATGTAGATGTAAATGCTGCTGAGATTTAATAAGAGGTTTTGCCGTTGTTACATTTCATGTCCTCTTCAAGATGAACTTCTGAAATACAGTGACCCCAAAACCAGAAAACCTGGAAAGTTTTGTCTCTTCAGCACTCTCTGCATGTCAGGGGAGGAATTCATCCCAAATCCCCCTAAACGATTCTGCTAAAATGTGGCAGGGCTGAATCCTGAGCAGGAGTTGCCCAGCCTGCAGCTGGGTCCTACTCTGACTCCTGGCTGGTCTGGAGGGGCAATATCACTCACTCAGCCTGCAGGGTGGTGGAGGGGGGTTTGTATTTTCAAAGAAACAGTGTTGGCCACTGCCACCGGCCACCATGGGCAGCAGGGTCAATTGGTCTCTCCCTCCTTTTTAGGGCAACCTGTGAGCATCTGTTAAAATGCAGAATGTGTGTCCTTGGAGCCAGCACTCATACCTGTATAGAAAGACACGCACCAAGATGCAGTATGTGCAACAGAAAATCCTGGAAGTATTTTGTTGTTGTTGTTTTGAGACAGTCTCACTTTGTCGCCCCTGTTAGAGTGCTGTGGCATCATAGCTCACAGCAACCTCAGACTCTTTAAGCGATTCTCTCGCCTCAGCCTCCCTAGTAGCTGAGACTGCAGATGCCGCCACCACACCACGCCTGGCTATTTTTAGAGGCGGGGTCTCATTTGAGCTCAGGCTGGGTTTGAACTCATGAGCTTAGGCCATCCACCCACCTCAGCCTCCCAGAGTGCTAGGATTATGTGACAGGCATAAGCCACTATGCCCAGCCCATGGAAGTAATATATTTTTTAA